GCCATAGCTAGGAGGGGATGCCTGAAGTCTTTTATTTATTCTCAGGCTCATTCTCAAGTTTCTTAGGCTGAAAACAGCCAGGGGTAAAGATGGGGGTTGCTGCTGAGTCTGGCTGGATGTCTGGAACTGGTCCAAAGCCAGTTTTTCCTTTGGACTTCTTTGGGTAGCCAACTCCCAGATTGGCTTGGGAGGTTCCCAGAGTGTAAATAACTTAACCCCAGGGCTTTGTCTGGAATGTCCTTTTTACCATTCTGGATCCTAGCCGTCCTGGTAACTAGATGAATCTAGATCTGGCAAAGGGTTTGATTCATGATCATGATCTGCCCTTCTCTACAGTCCCTAGACCTCCCTCTGGCCTCGTGTTCAGAATGCAAGTGGCTGTTGGCCAAGTGAAGAGGTTATGGCAGCTTAGGTAGAAGCAAATCCAGGAATTTTAGAACTTCTTAAAGATCATCTAGCTGAGTCTCTTTATTTTGCAGATGAGGAAACTGAAGCCCAGAGTGAGAATTATGTCATCTTTGATTTAACAGGCATTGTAGAAGTCATCCAGTCTGACCTCTCAACATCATCTTCTTACAGTCTAGGAATCTCTCCCCCAACATGCCCAATAGCTGGTATCCAGAGGATGATACTGGGGAACTTATAACTTCTGAAGAGAACCCATTCTAATATAGGACAACTCTAATTAAAAGGAACTAACTTAATTGAAATCTACTTCCCTGTAACTTTTATCTTCTCAGTGGTTCTAATTTAATTCCTCTCCTATGTAACATCCCCCAAGGTAAGACCTTCTCAGACTCCCAAGTTAGCAAATATCTCTGTAGCATATAATTTCCCTAATCAAAATAAAGTATAACTGAAAAAGAACTTTACTGATTCTATAAAGACAGGGCATTCCACTTTCATGTGTCCAAACTTCTTTTTCCAGCCAAGAACGACTACTTTCTTGGTTTTCTTCACTTTCTTTTCATTACTGGCACTAGTATTTAGCTCTTTTCATAATACTTTTATTTTTTTTTAATTTTTTATTAGAATCAGGACCTCAGTTCCCCCGCCAGGGATCAAAACCAGGCCACAGCAGTGACAGTGCCAAATCCTAACCACTAGGCCACCAGGGAACTCCCTCATAATATGTGTAATAAAGAAACATACATTTTATATCACTTTGTGAGTATAACTGTACAAAGCTATCAGGAGAGAGCTACAGATAGGGCTGAAGGGTTGGACTCACCCCTGCAGCCTGTCTATGGTTCCTCAGTTCATATTTGCTAGCTGTGGTGGGTCTCTCCATTTCTGTTGTCTCCTTCTCAGCCTGGGAAGAGTTTCCCAACTGGTCTTCTTACCTCCAGTCTTCTCCTGCCCAAATACAGCTTCCGATTTCGGTTAGAATCATTTATCTAAAAATGCAGATTTGCCCATGTCACTTCCTTAATTTAGTGGTTCATCAACACCCAGTGCTCCACACATTTTCCACTAAATGACTACTGATGATAGATGAGCTTTTCTCAACTGCATTCCCATAAGAAAATTAAACCCTAATGCTATTAGGCATCCATTGTATGTAATGTATTAACTTTTTTCCAGTGCATCTGAAATGGTCCTAGTTGTTTACACTCTTGAAGAGAATTGAGGAAATAGTCACTCAAATTCTTTTCTTTGTTCTGTGGTTCAGATGAGGAACCCAGTGTAAAAGAGTAGAGAGAGAGAATGTATGTTCTTCAAGAGGTCCAGAAGCATGGCTGGGAGCAATCTCCAGAAAAAAACCCCACAAATTTCATTGAAGTCTAGGGTTTCAACTTTATTATTATTTTTTTAAATATATATATACACACACACATGTATTTATTTATTATAAATTTATTTATTTAATTTATTTATTCTTGGCTGCTTTGGGTCTTTGTTGCTGCATGCGGGCTTTCTCTAGTTGTGGCGAGCGGGGGCTGCCCTTCCTTGCAGTGCACGGGCTTCTCGTTGTGGTGGCTTCTTTTGTTGCAGAGCACAGGCTCTAGGTGTTCAGGCTTCAGTAGTTGTGGCTCACGGGCTCTAGAGCACAGGCTCAGTAGTTGTGGCGCATGGGCTTAGTTGCTCCACGGCATGTGGGATCTTCCCGGACAAGGGCTTGAACCCATGTTCCCGGCATTGGCAGGCGGATTCTTAACCACTTCGCCACCAGGGAAGCCCCTAGGGTTTCATCTTTAAATTTATGTGAATATTGTATTCTACTACATAATACGTCCATTGTTAAAAGTGTTTTAAAATATTTGTCAATGAATAGAATTGATTTTACAGGAGGATTTGCCTGAGGTCCATGGAACTAAAAATAACTACCTTTTTTCTTATCCCTGTAGTGGACATTTTATACATGTTACGTTATTTAATGTCTCTAGGAAAATTGCCCAAGATAACACAGCTAGTAAGGTGTCAAGACTCAGGGCACTAAGGGAAGTATGTCTCAACTCCACAACTTGAAGCTGAGTTGAGTCAAGAGCCTTGGAAGTCTTTGCCCCATTTCTAAGTTTATCTTCACTGGAATAGAGGGTTTTTTTTTCCTTGGTCAAATTAGTATTGTGGTTCAGATCATGCGTAATTCCATACTTCTTTGGCATAATACAACTAACCTTGATTATCCAAAAGAAAAATGAGCAGTGATTTAGGTAATTCCATATAATAGGGAATCTTGTCTTTTCTCTCTGGTGGCTCTGAAACATATAAAATTTTTTTTTTTAGTAGCAGATTCACTTTTCTAATTGTTTTGTCTTGACAGATATTGACATATTGTAATTTCTTGAGTACTCTAGCTGGTTGTGGGAGCTGGCTTTTTTTGGCAAGAGGTAGCTATCTTGCTATTGAAAACTTGGTTCCTCCACCCCAGAAGACATAGAGTTGACTCCATTTGTGTCCACTTACCCAAGGTACTTAGGATAGCATAAATGCTAAAGTACCAAGGTGTCAGAGTGGCTTCCCCAGCTCCACCCCCAATCTGACATTTACCTAGCCATCTGGAATCCAGTTTCCATTAGGTGTCCAAAGAGAATGTCTGGAATGCCCTGTCAGTGGCCATTCAGCGCAGAATTTCAAGGGGATCTGGCTCCTGTAGCTCCTCTAAGAAGCTAGAACAAGTTCTGAAATAATTGCTAATGGAGGGAGCTGTAGTGGCTATTTTCACTCATCTCTGGCTGTACCCCTGAATTTCTGGTTCTTCCTAAAAGCTTGAAGTTTGGGAGTATAAGGGCATCCAGAGGATGCAGAGTCCTGTGAGGTTCTTTTATTTGTAACACCTTGCCTCCTTTGCTGTTCTAAACTCTCTTTTCAGTATGAGTTAATAAAGCTTGCATGTTAGTACCCAGTACCCTTTAGATTATGTAAAAGAGGAGAAGAGGTAGGCTGGGAGGGAAAGTCCGGGGTTTGGATTAGAAAACCTGTTTAGTCAAAGGGGAACTTAGCTGAGGAACAGAATGAAAATTATTTCCTTAGACAGTAGACAAACATTCAGGAAACACCTCTGTACCCCAAAGATAGGAACAGCTGCCACACAGTGACTGTTAAAGGGAGGTTCTATGTTATGAGCAAACAGCTGATTCTCTTGGTTCTTAGGCTGTTGCTGTTGGTGACAGGAAATCTTGTTTCCCAAGCTGCTGGCTTCCTGTTTTATTTTTACTCTTAGCAGATCAGAATGTCCATAACAAGGAGCAGTCTGTTCCAAAGGGTTCTACTCCCTCTTTGAGCCTGAAGGGCTTTTTTTTTTTTTTTTCTTTTGGTCAGACAATATGTTGGTTCACTTTTAAGATCTATGATGTTTAGCTTGGTTTAAGCATTTCGTATTCACAATCAACTTTTTTGGTGATGAGCTGGTGTTTTGAGATTTGATGTAAGTAGAACTCTGTGGGTTTGTTTTTTTTTAAAGAGGAGTTTGCAACCTTGGGGACTTGGGTATGTTACCTTTATGCTTTACCATTTAATTTGCCATTTTCCCCAGCACAAAAACCATTAGGCTGTTTTAAATTTCTTTAGTTTCACAAGATAGGGAAACAGTTCCAGCCCGATGTGCCTTGGCTGTAGTCATATCCATTTTGTTGGATAAAAAACCTCCTCCTGTCCTTGTAAAGCTAGGAATTTGGTAATCTAACTCTAAAACAATAGCTCAGCATGAACCTAAAGTGCTGGGGGATTTCCTAGGGAAAGGGGCTCAGCCGACAGGATAAGAAACAGTAACTGGAAGGTTTCCGGATCTGCTCCACTTCCTGCTGTTTCAAGAGCCTTTTGGCCCAGGTGTGTTGAACCGGATGGGAGAGAGAAAGGGAGCTGTGGGTAGAAGAGAAAGGACTAAGGAATCTTACAGCACAGGGTGCTTGGCATCACGTTTGATATATTGAACGTGTATAATTTTCCTTGATATTCTTTCATTCTGTCAATTTACAGACTAAACTTTGGTAGTGTTAATAGATACTGGCAGTATTTAGCTGTACATTAACAGTCCTCCATCAGGGAAGGACTGGAGAAGTTATGTCCTGTTGCAGATCAGTAGAATCACTATTGGCAACTTAATTTCATTGTGGAGACTGTCAGATGACAGAAGCTCTTTTTTGATTCTTATAATTGATTATATGGAATCTGATCTGTTCTGGTTGTGGACCCCCCAAGGTTAAGATCTATATACCATCCAGGACTTGTTGAATGGGCTGTTTTCTTACCATGCGTCTCTGCCTCTGGAGACTCTTATTAGTTGGAGCATAGTTGTTATTTTAAGGTTTTTAGGTTTTTATGCTGCCTGTGTACCCTCAGTCAGCAGTCACCAGTTCAGAATTTCTAAACTTATCCAGCAAGCCTCTAATGGCAAACCTTTAAAAGGGGTGGTAGGGGTAAGGGAGGGCTTAAAACAGAAAAAAGAAGATTTTTAAAGCTGTTCAGATCAGAGCAAAACAAAAGGAAAAAAGACTCACAGCCCTGGTGTGCCTGGAATTTGTGGTTGAGTAATACTTTTCCTGTTATTTCTTTTTTAGGTTGTTTTTCATCATTCAGAACGTTGCCTGAAGCAGGTCCACCATGCCGTTAGTAACGAGGAACATCGAGCCAAGGCACCTGTGCCGTCAGACGTTGCCTAGCGTTAGAAGCGAGCTGGAATGCATGACCAACATCACCCTGGCAAATGTCATCCGACAGCTGGGCAGCCTGAGTGAGTGCCGCAGAGAGCCTGTGCTTTGCCCTCAGGGGTCGTTGGTGCTCTTTATTTTGTTTCCTTCTCCTCCGTGTTCCTATTTCTCCCCCATCTGCCTTCCCTAGGTAGTGCGAAAATTTATCCCACTCCCACCCCCTCCCCAAAGAGAGGCTCCTTTTTGGTACAGATTCTTCCCCTCAACCCTTTCTTCATCTACCACCACCCTCTAGGTTCCCTCCCCCTCCCCCTCCCCCTGCTTCAAAAGAAATCTGTGGGAAGGGTGGCAGGAAGGGCTGCAGCAGAAACTGCAGATGGAATGACAGAGCAGAATTCTCTGTGTGTAAAGTGGGAGGTTCACAGAGCAGTATCTTGGGTTGGGGAATGTGCCTGTAATTGCACAAAGCTATTCGATGTAGCCTGATTTTGTTGAAGCCTCAAATGTGCCAATAGTCTTTATCTACACAACAACCCCCCCCCGCCCCGCCCCGCCGCCCCTTTTCTTCCCAAAGAGAAGTAAAGCAAACATGCATTCAGAGAGATTCTGGCTGACTTGTCTGCCTTGGTACACATTTAATTGTGCTGCAAGCCCCCAGGTCCAAGTTCAGGGTACAAATTACTTCTGTAGTCTCTGGGGTATTGGGAGTTTTGCAAGCTGTGTGAACACAGTGACACAAATTGGAGCTGGAGCCATTCTTCTCTAGGAGGAAGCTGGGGGTTAACCAGTCTGTTTTGGAGCTGAGGGAAAGCCAGCTCAACTGTAATTTTTTTTTTTTAATTGATAAGAATGAGTAAGACTGCCTTGGGTGGGGTACATGCATGGGTTTGGATTTCTTTCTGAATTAAGTTGACTTTGTTTGCTTGGAGCCGAGATATGGGAAGGGCAGATGCTTGGATAGGCTCTGCATTTGTCTAGTGCCATTCTAGCTCCCATAAGAACCTCTGTCAAAATGCCATTTTAGTGATCTTCCTTAGCAGAAGCATCTTGGTGTGAATTATTTCAGACATTCACCTCTCCTATCGCATCACTGCCCTTAGTGAAAACAGTGGAATATCAAGAAAGCCTGTATCCCCCCTCAGATAGTAATAGGCCCTGCCTTGAAAATAGGTGCCTGAGGAGACAGAGGTCTGTGACCATATGACGTATGGGGTCTGAGATTCCTAAGCCATCACCTAGCTCAGAGACCATCTCAGTTGATCCAGGGCTTAGGGAAACCTGGATGGGGCGTCAAGAAAGAAATGAAACCCCGCCAGTGCCTGTCTTACACAAAGGAACATTGACAGCAGTGCAACAGCAGTATGGCTGACAAGGAAGCACATGAAGGCTGCAGAGAGCCTCACTGCTTCTTAAAAGCATCATTTCTGCTTCTGTCACCCTTAGGAAGCCAAATGGGTGGAAGTCAGTCACACACTGGTTCCTTCTCTATAGGACAAAGGACATCTAGCTAATGATACTTCTTATTCTCACTCAGCAGGAGTTATGCTCTCTCTCAGGTGTTTTTCCAGGGTAGTGTTGCTGGATGCCATTGCTCACTCTCCCACTTGTGATCAGAGCATTCCTATCTTGAGGAAGTTGATCTGAGGGCCAGGGTTGGCTTGTGCCTGTGGAAACGAGATTTCCTCAGGTTGTAGAGCTAGCTGACCCTTTATTCATCCAGTAAACATGTATTGAACATATTTTATGTGCCAGATGCTGAGAGGATACAGCAATAGTAAGAAATGGTCTCTGCCTTCCAGGAGCTCATACTCTACCAGAGGAGAAAGAAATAAGTAATTCTTAAGGGGAGAATGGGGAGAGGATGAGAAGGGAACTCACGTTTGTTGATTGCCCACTTTAAGCCGGGTTTTAATAGGATCTTCACATAGATTATCTCGTTTAATCCTTTTAATAATCCTATGACGTTAGATGTTGGCATTGCCATTTTTCAGATGAAGAAATGAAGGCTCAGAAAAGTAAGGTAACTTGTCTGCAGACACAGCAGTCAGAGGCAAAGTCAGACTTCCTAAGAATTTCTCAGTTCTGTCTCCTGTCTCTCTGTCTCTACCAACACTGCCCTGTTTTAGACTGACTTTAACTCTCACCTAAACTGTTGTCCTAGCCTCCCTCTGGCCTCCCTTTCTCTGATCAATCCCCTTAAATCTATAAACCTAAAAATTGTATAAAATCTCATAAATCTTAAACCTATACTCTTACCAGAGTGGTCTGCCCAAAACTAAAATCTTACTTTTTACTTTTATAATTCTGAATTGTTTGAATTTTTAAAAGTTAAGTCTGTGTTAACTTTTGCAGTTTAAAAAGTGTTTTTAAAATAAGAGTATAATTGTTAGCTGTGTATTTATCTCTGCTCTTCCTCACTATGCAATTATTTAAGTTCCTTGGCCTGGCATTCAAGACTTTAAGACCTGCCTTTCTTTTCAGCTTCATTTTCTGTAATCTGTCTTCTCCCATTTTACAGTCTTTTTAAGGGATTCTTTTAAAATTAAAAAGGGAAAAAAAGAAGGAAGAAAAACTGAATTACCAACTACTTGTAGCTTCTGAGACAGACCATATTCTCTCGTACTTCGACGTGGTGGCTTTGTTGTTCCCACTGCCTGGAGAGCCCTTGCCATCCTTGTAGCTGATCTTCAAGGCCCACCCAGCTCAGGGATCTCCTCCTCCAGGTTGGACTGAGTACCCCTCTGAGATCCTATTACATGCCTATATTATTACCTGCCACATTATATTGAAATTTATCTCCTATATTAAATTGAAAGTTCTTTGGAGGCAGAAATCATGTGTTGTTTGTCCTTGAACCCCAGTGTCTATCTTGTATAGTACCTGGCACCCAGTAGGAGCTCAGTAAATACTTGTTGAATGATTCATGCATGTACTCTTTCCATGCTTCCGTGCTGTTGGTGCACAGAGAATACAGGGAAGGAAGGAATATTTCCTATGGGGAATGGGAACATAGCGGGAATAGAGAGAGTCAAGGAAAGCTTCACAGAAGAGGTTACATTTGAATCGAGCCCTGAAAGATGACTAGGATTTCATCTAGCAGAGAGGGGTGCAGGAATGGGCTCATATGTGCTTCAGGCTCATGACCTTGACCTCATGTATTATATTCTAGCCAGAAGTGCTTGGTCCAGTAGGGCAAGTCTGATTATGGAATGAATAAAGCACAAAACTTAAGATTTCACAGCCATGAATTGCTCCCTGATAGCATATCCAGGATTCTCATTTTCCCTCAGTGCAGTGAGATTGGGATTTCACATATTAGGTTGCCGTATCTTAGGAAATGTGGGCACAGCCAGCCAGCCAGCACATCTGAATCAGTATCCTGACCACCTAGGAAAAGGGAACCCCTTCTTGGGTCATTAAGATTTGTTATGGGACTTCCCTGGTGGTCCAGTGGCTAAGACTCCACACTCCCAGGGCAGGGGGCCCAGGTTCTATCCCTGGTCAGGGAACTAGATCCCACATGTTGCAACTAAAGATTCCACATGCCACAACTAAAAAAAGATCCCGCATGCCACAAGACCCAGCGCAGCCAAATAAAATAAATAAATAAAATTGTTAAAAGATATGTTATGATACTGGGTTTTCTGAGTACAGTGGGTCCATGCCATTGGGGGGCTCCAAGACTCCCACTCAAATTCAAACGAGCAGCTTCATATTTTTAAAAATCAGTTTTACTTGTTCCATTTCCACATAAGATTTCATTTGAAAAACTGTACTGCTAAGAGAAAAAATAAAAGTTGCAGACTGCTTCTGGAATCTTGCAAAATGGGGTAGATGTCTATTATGAATGTCCTGATGTGATAGTGGATCTATCTTGGTAATCTGAATAAGTGAAATTATTAATTATTAATTAATTAATAAGTGAAATTATCGCCTGCCAATGCAGGGAATGTGGGTTCAATCCCTGGTCCGGGAAGATCCCACATTCCACAGAGCAACTAAGCCCATGCACCACAACTGCTGAGCCTGCACTCTAGAGACTGCAAGCCACAACTAGTGAGCCTGTGTGCCACAGTTACTGAAGCCCGCATGCCTAGAGCCCATGCTCTGCAACAAGAGAAGCCACCGCAATGAGAAGCCCGTGCACCGCAATGAAGAGTAGCCCGCCTGCTCACTGCAACTAGAGAAAGCCCACGTGCAGCAAATGAAGACCCAACGCGGCCAAAAAAAAAGGAGTCATCTGATATGGTTGAGCAATATAAGGAGGAGTCTCATTATAACAATTTACAGGGACTTCCCTGGTGGTGCAGTGGTTAAGAATCCGCCTGCCAATGCAGGGGACACGGGTTTGAGCCCCGGTCCGGGAAGATCCCACATGCCGCAGAGCAACTAAGCCTGTGCACCACAACTACTGAGCCTGCACTATAGAACCCACGAGCCACAACTCCTGAAGCCTGTGTGCCTGGAGCCTGTGCTCTGCAACAAGAGAAGCCACCGCAATGTAGAGGCCTGTGCACTGCATTGCAACGAAGAATAGCCCCCACTTGCTGCAATTAGAGAAAACCTGCATGTAGCAACGAAGACCCAACACAGCCAAAAATAAATTAGTTAATTAATTTAGAAAAGAGTTTACATTTTTGGCTCGTTTAATCCTGTGACAACTTGGTGAGATAGATATAGTTGTCCCCATTTCGTAGATGAGGAAACTGAGGCTGGGAGAATTTGACTTGCTGAAAAGTACACAGGTGTAGGTAGAAAGAACTGAGACTTAAATTCAGACTTTCTGGTTTGAAGTCTACTGCTTCTTCCATGTATCATCTTGCAGTTCTAAGTATACCTAGGGCCTGACGTGACGTAACGTGACAGTGGGGAAGCCTTCACTCCACCTCACTCCCCCTTCAAGTAGCATTCTCAATGTTACCATTTTTATATGGTGGGGTTCTTTGTATGATTTCATCTTAAATCATTGTGCCACACTGATTTCCACTCCCACTATCACTGCTCCCTTCACTGAGGAGCAGGAAATCCTGCGTACTCTCGCGGTGACCTGAGGGTAAATTGACTTGGGGTTTTCTTTTCCTCCAGAACAGCTGGATGGCTAACAGATATTTTTGAGCCTGGTTTATTTTCCATGCTTAATGTGTGTTTCTCTGTTATATAGTCTTCCGAT